GCGCACTTAACCACCAAGCCACGGGGCCGGCCTGAATTCATTTTAAACTTACAGAAAAGTTGCAAGACTAGAACAAAGAACTCCTATATACCTTTTACTTAGATTTACCATTTTTGACATTTTGCCATACAGTAGTCCCCCCTTATTCGCAGTTTTGCTTTCTGCACTTCTAGTTACCTGCAGTCAACCGTGGCCCAAAAATATTAAATGGAAAATCCCAGAAATAAACAATTCATAAGTTTTAAATTGTGCGCCACTGTTCTGAATAGCATGATGAAATCTCATGCTGTCCCCGGGACGTGACATCCCTTTGTCTAGCCTCTCCACACTGCATACACTACCCGCCTATCACTTAGTGGCCATCTGGGTTATCAGATAGACTGTCAGTACCGAAGTGCTTGTGTTCACGTAACCCTGATTTTATTTAATAGCGGCCCCAAAGTAGTGATGCTGGCAATTCGGGTATGCCAAAGAGAAGCCATAAAGTGCTTCCTTTATGTGAAAAGGTGAAAGTTCTCGACTTAATGAGGAAAGAAAAAAAATCGTGTGCTGAGGTTGCAAAGATCTACAGTAACTTTTATTACAGTATATTGCTATAATTGTTCTATTTGATTACTAATATAGTTGTTAATCTCTTACTGTGTCTAATTTATAAATTAAACTTTATCGTAGGTATATATGTATAGGAAAAAACATAGTCTAAATAGGGTTCCTACTATTCAAGCTTTCAGGCATCCACTGTGGGTCTTGGAATGTACCCCCACGGATAAGGGGGGATTACTGTATTTGCTTTATATCTCTCTCTCCACACACATGCACACACACACGTACACATATGCACACATACACACATATTTATTGTTTATACTTTTTGAACTATTTGAGGCTGGGTGGCATACATCATGGTTCCTTTCCCCTGAAAACTTTAGTGTGTACTTCCTAAGAAAAAGAATATTCTCTTACATAAGTACAGTTACAAATTTAAGAAATTTAACATTAATAAAATACTTTAGTCTACAGTCCATATTCCAGTTTATCTACTCTACACCCTATATTCCGGTTTCTTTAGTTGGCCTAATGTCCATTATAGCATTTATTTATTTATCTATCTATCATTCCTGCACCGCATATTGCATTTAGTTGTCATCTTTTAATCTTCCTTTGATTTGGAACCCTTCTCCAGTCTTTCTTAGTCTTTCATGACATTAGCGTTTTTGCAGGATACAGCCCAGTGGTTTTACAAAATGTCCCTTCAATAGTTGAAATGCTAAGTCTAGATCTAAAAAAGAAAAATGAAGCTGAAATAGTGTCAAACATAGATGTAGCTTTCATCAAGACATCTTGTAGAAAAAATGATGCTGACATAGGATTACCCAATGTGAAAATAACAAGGGATCAAGAGAACTAAACAATACAGCTGCTAGATAATTAATCCACTTATCTTAAGTATAGCTAATGAAATTAGGTCGACAGAATTGGTTGTGTCAGCAGTGGATGCTCCTGCCTTTTCAGTAGCATCACTGAGGCACTTTGTGCAGGCAAACCCATTTTTACCTTGTATACAACTATCACCAGCACCTCGACAATTGAGGGTGCAAGGCGGGCACTCAATGAATATCCATTTACTGAGTTAATGAGCAATGAGGATTACCCAGAATTTGCATCTTTAGTCTCATGGTTATTGTATTGTGTTGTTTGTTTGCTGTTTTAAATAACGGGACGCTAGGGCCAGCCCCGTGGCTTAGCGGTTAACTGTGCAGGCTCTGCTGCTGGCGGCCCAGGGTTCCGATCCTGGCGCGCACGGACGCACTGCCTCTCCGGCCTCATGGCGGTGTCCCATATACAGCAACTAGAAGGATGTGCAGCTATGACATACAACTATCTACTGGGGCTTTGGGGGAAAAAAATAAATAAATAAAATTTTAAAAAATTTAATAAATAAATAAATAACGGGAAGCTAGAACAAGGGGAAATACAAGATTTTCTGCCTTCTATATGGAATCTGCAGCTAATCTTTGTTCACTTGACTAGGGGTGGACCTAGTAGCTAAGAGATTGACTAACATGAAATCCTTTCCAAGTCTGACCATGTAAAAAAGCAGCTTCACCAGACAACATTATGTCACCTCTAGGGGGTGGGGTGGGGAAGGAGGCTGACTTCCCAGTTTCAACAGGGACAGTCTTTGGAAAAACATTTCCAAACACAGGAGAACTGAAGATCTAGTTCACATGTGACCTTGAAAAACTAGTAGCAGCTTAACTTCTGCCAAGCAAGGAATGAATGGAGAATGTTTTGCAAAAGATCTGGCAAACATAAAGAGGGGCACAGGAAAATGGAAGTAAAGTGAGGTGTCTCTCTTCTGCTGACTGTGGTGTGTTTCTTTAGCAAGAATTAGTTCATAGGCCATTGATAAACAGACCTATGCCAGTATAACAGTGGAAATATTGTGGGTTTAAGTGGAATTTTCCTCTGCACATAAATGTTTGGGAGCAATTAAAGAAAAAAAAAAAAAAAGCCTTTTAATGTAGGACGACCTTAAGAAAAAGCTGAAAATCCTACAGGAATCTTCTTTTTGGATGAAAAAAGTAGCTGGGTAAGTGGATGCAAAAACCCCACTATACTTTTCCACAATCTTAAACTATTTTGTGAAGCTGTGTGTGCAGACGAAAAATTGAGAAGACATTTATCCTGGTGTTAATAAAATTTGATGAAGAATGCTATCCCCCAGATAAGATTTAAATTTTTGATGAAATTAGTCTCTAATGCCCTCAAGAACCTACCTTGTCTAAGGAGGAAGCAGGAGTCCGTAGTGGAAGCTACAGATCCACTAAGGGCGCCGGCAGCACATTCCGGAGGAATTTTAACTGTGCAAGCAGCAGGACTCTTAGTGCTCTGGATAGGTTTTAAGTGGGCTTCCCCAATCCCATTTGCCCCAAAAGTCCGCAATTGAGCAGAACTTGAGAGTTTTTTAGGACTGCATATTTGGAGTTATTGCAGAAACGATTCCTGTAGAAAGGCAATCTCCTCGTTTCTATTTTACTAAAAATAATCCCACCCCCACCTTACCCTCCGTAAGGCTCCCTAACCCTCCGTGAGAGAGGGTTCGGCACACTGACCCCAGGAGCCAGTGTGCTCCAGGGGAAGGGATGGAGGGAAGCAGGAGAGTCTTTGGGACCCTGGGACCACGGAGGGGATGCGGGCAACGGCAGGGCGGAGGAGGTGCAGAGGGTGGAGGGTAGGAACCACCCGGGCCACTCAGACACCAGGCGGGAACCGACACCCCGCGGAGCCACGCCCGGAGGCAGAGAGGTGCAGGCGCCGGCCCGCCCTTCCTCCTCCTGCTCCTGACCCCGGCCCTTGCTGCTCCTTCGCCTTTGACCCCGCGGGTCACTCTGACCCCGTCAGGCTCCCCGGACCCGGCGGTGGCGCAGCGGTGACTCCGGCCGGCAGCCCACGCGGGGGACTCCCCGCAGCAGCAGTTCTGGTCCTCTCTTCTGGGTCAGACGTCCCAAGGAAGGAAAGGGCTCCTCTAGGGGATGACTTGTCAAAGGAGCATCCCAAGAATTGGGAGTTAAGGAAAATTTAGTCCTTACGATATGTTTTCAACTTTTGGTTGCAGGGCCACCTTAACACTATTGAAAATTATCATTGTGGGTATATCTGTCGATATTTATCATATTAGATTTTGAAACAAAAATTTAAAACACAACAACACGGAAGCACACGTTCCATTAGGCTTCACAGCAGTGGTGAAATCGCTCCTAATTGTAGCCCCGGAAAACTCCACTGTGAATGACAGTGAAAGAGAACAGAAAAGGCAAATAACGTCTTAGTATTATTATGAAAATAGTTTTAACCTTGGCGATTTCTGTAACAAACTTTGAGAACCACTGCTCCGAAAATAATCACAGCTTAGAAACAGGGCCTTCACTGCCTTGAACAATTTAGATGTGGGACCTAGGTCAGGGTTATGGTGCTGGAGCAATCTGGACAGTGACCTGCAGAATTTACAAGGAATGCACTGAGATGTCGTCTTTATCCCTCCTGGCTGGCATTTGCCCTTTAGTCTGGCCAGAATTCCAATCCAAAGAAGAGCAGAACACAGCAAGTAACTAAACATCAATTGCTGAGAAGGATAAATTTCAACTGAAAGGAAAAAAGCAAATTCCTGAAAAGGTGTCAGAAAATCAACAGAAGCATCACAAGCTAAGAACTCTCTTGAAGACAACAGCCAGCAAACTAGGAATGCATCTCTCTGACGAAGGGGCTGGCTAAAATCAGGAAACTTTCAGAAAGTAATCTAAAGCCAGTGAAAATAATACTTGTGATGGTGTAAACTAAGAAGAAAATGTAAAGATATCTGTGGGAAAGTTTTATAAGTTCATAGAAAAATAATGAAGAAAAATTCAGTAAACCTTTTAGAGACAAGATAGCTCTTAATGAAGCAAAACTACTCGAAGAGAGTGAAGTGAGGATTCTGTTGGGAACAGGAAGAGGAAGTTGGAATGAGCAAAACGTAAAGCTTAGGAGAAACGGAAAGTATGTGAGAGGTCTCCAAAAGAGAGGAAAAGGATCTCTTGATTATAGAAGTGATGACGTTGAAGTTTTGAATAATTGTCTTGTGCAGATCAATTCTGATACCGAGGAAGAAAGTAATAGGAAAGAAATTGTATTTTCTGAATTAGACCTTGAAAAGCCAGGGGATCACCAAGATGAGAAAGTGAAAGAGAAAACGGTTCTACCAATTATCCATTGCTGTGTAATAACCGCAAAACTTAGGGGCTTAACACAGCAGTGAATTATTACTTTTTTCATGATTCTCTGGGTTGGCTGACAACTTATCTGCTAGTTTTGTGTGGGCTCATTCTTGTAGCTGCGTTCACCTGGAAAGCGGTTGGGCTGGAAGGTCAAGGTGGCCTCACTCACATGTCTGGCCGTTGGTGCTGGCGGTGCATTGGGAGCCTTAGTTCTTTTACGTGTGTCCTTCCATTCTCTAGTAGGCAAGAATGGCTTCCTCACGTGACAGTCTCAAGGCAGCTTCACAAGAGGGTGAAAGTAGAAGCCGCAGTGTCTCTTAAGACCTGGCTTTGGAAGTCACATAACATCACTTCTCCCACATTCTGTTGATCAAAACAAGTCACAAGATCAGCCCAGATTCAAAGAGTGGGGAAATAGACAATCTCTTGATGGGAGGAATAGCAAAGTCACATTGCATAGGATCTTGGGAGGAATTTGTGGCCATATTTTGCACTTTATCACAACAGGAATGGATATGACAAAGGCCCAAGCTATATTAACATTAGTTCAAGGACAGAAATAATTTACAACTTCAGTGGAGTAAAGTTGCTTGCTTGGAAGAGAACTTAAGGAAGGTGGAACAGGATGCCTGTTTGTTGTGGTCAGTGCAATGCCCCTAGAAAATGTATTATAAAGCTTCAAGCTGCAAATTGAACTCATTGATCAGACAGAATACCTCACTGGAAAAATTTGAGCAGGAAAAAAAGATTAGGAGCAGTCAGGTACAGAGGAAGGGAAATACTAAAATCAGTGAATTGAATAAAATAGAGGTAAACTATAGAATATGAAAATATCTTATAAGGCAACATTTTGTTCTGCACCAGAGTGCCTATGATAGGGGCTGGCCCAGTGGCATAGTGGTTAAGTTCGTGCCCTCTGCTTCAGTGGCCTGGGGTTCGCAGGTTCGGATCCCAGGCATGGACATATACACCGCTTATCAAGCCATGCTGTGGCAGCGTCCCATAGAAAGTAGAGGAAGATGGGCACTGATGTTAGCCCAGGGCCAATTGTCCTCAGCAAAAAAAGAGGAGGATTGGCAACAGATGTTAGCTAAGGGCTAATCTTCCTCACAAAAAAACAAAACAAAACAAAAAGAATGCACATGATAATTGGATCCTTGCTTGTGATACAAGAGAGCTATTACTGGAGACATGAAGCAAGCCACCTTTATGAGACAGAAATTAGTAGAGGAACAAGTGAAAAAAAAAAAGTTGGTAATACTCTGAAAACCAGAGATTGTTACAGCAATTATGAGAAGACATTTTGTGGTCTCTTTCCAACTAATACACCAATTTCATTTCTAAGATTTCAAGTGCTTTGTTTCCTACTGTACACAGAGACTTTATAAAAATAGCAATACAATGTCTAATGTCTTCCTCAATGAAGGGATCTTTTAAGTTCATGCCTGAGGGTGGAGGGGTACCGTTCCCCTTGGTGATGAAGGATGTTCTAGGAAACTACAGGTACTCTATGACTGTTAATTGAAGAGGTGTCCTTACACTGGAACCCTGATGTATCCCAAAAGTACTGAATTCAGTATCCCAAAAAATTCTTCTCCTTCCACCACAGTGAATAGCTTGGTTGCTCTGGTACAAATCCCAACCCTTCTCGGGTATGCTGATCACAAGCTCACCACCACCAGGACCTCCACCTCCTCTGGTCAGTTTGGACCACCTTCCCCACCACTTGATGGGCATAAAACTTTTCTTCTACCCCTCATTCCTGGAAGGCCTCCGCCTCAGGCCTAAAAGAAAGCACACCTGGCTTCTACCTGAAATAATGGCCCTGTTCTGTGGTTATTAAATCTATAAACACTGTCCTCTACCTTTTATCTATAGTAATATGTTTTTGGTAATTACAAATAATGCTGCTTTTAATATGTATTTTTATGTATACATACATGCATTTCTGTTGGATATATACAGAGGTAGGAGAGAAATTGCTGGGTCACAATGTATGCATATGTTCAACTTCAGCAGATAATGCCAGTTTTCCAAAGTGGTAGTGAGTACTTAAAAGATATACAAACATATAAACAAAAGTGGCCTCTTTGTCTTTCATTTAAGATTAACTTGCTGAAGATCTCAAAGCAATATGTTATGGAAAATAAGAATTAACCTATGATAGGGCCGGCCCCATGGCTTGGCGGTTAAGTGCGTGCGCTCCGCTACTGGCGGCCTGGGTTCAGATCCCGGGCGCCCCCCGACGCACCGCTTCTCCGGCCATGCTGAGGCCGCGCCCCACATGCAGCAACTGGAAGGATGTGCAACTATGACATACAACTATCTACTGGTGCTTTGGGGGGAAAAAAGGAGGAGGACTGGCAATAGATGTTAGCTCAGAGCCGGTCTTCCTCAGCAAAAAGAGGAGGATTAGCACGGATGTTAGCTCAGGGCTGATCTTCCTCACAAAAAAAAA